TATCCCAGACCCGGTGACTTAAACTCATGCCGGGCGCGTGTGCGTGCGTGCCCAAGATCCCGAGAGGAGAATGGAGGAGAAGGGACTGCGGTGTGGCCATCCCCCCTGGGGGGTGATTTCTCACTTTCTGTCTCTCTGTCTCTCTCTGTCTGTCTGGCGAGTGCACATGCCCTATAGCAAAAACTTCTCCAACAACAACAGAAAAGAAATAATCATAATAAATAAAATTAAGTAATTCCTTATGACCAAAAAAAATACTTCAGGGTCTTTTTTCTCTTTCTCTTTCTTTCTTTATATATATAATAAACATCTATATGGCATATGATGTATATATTCTGCATAATATACAATGTCTATATATTATCATACAATGTCTGTATATGTGTATAACAACAGTGCTTATAAAAACGGTTTTATAATACTCTGGAGCCTGGCAGGTGGCATAGTGGTTAAGCTGCTGGACTCTCACCTGGTCAACCACAGTTCAAGTCCCAGACCTGGTGGCTTGCTTTCTCACTTTCCTTCTCTCTCTCTTCGCCTGCCTCTCTCTGGTGAATGCATGTGCTCTATAGCAAGCAAAATAGTAATTAATATAACTGAATAAATAATAATATTAAGTTTTGGGTTTTTTCTTGGCTTTTAGTTTTGCATTTTTTTCTCTTTTTTTCATGGAAGACAGTTGAGTAACAATTTTATCAGGTTTGGATGGCTCAGGGAACTCTCGTGACACAATGAGGATACTACGAAAATAGTTCAAATGTAGGAAATTGAAGCAGATGTGCTACCATACATAAATAGGCCATTTTGCTCTAACAACGTATTGGGTTCATTCAGGGGGGAAAAAATCCACAGCAGGGCATTGGAAATGGCAGTGCCACACTTTGCTGAATGACATATGGAGCTGGTGTGACCTTTCACAGCTAGGTCCAGTTTCTAAAGGGAGAAAATGAGGTTAAAAAAAGACCACTGTCCATTTCGCTCCCTGGTCATTTCTCCTCCTATCATCTCGGAAGCACACCCAGTCTGAAAGTGTATCCTTCTGGAATGGGTCAGGAGCTCAGGGGGCAGATGACCGCATCCGCCTCCTCTTTCCTGCCTTTATGGAGTTCCAGAACACCTTTTCCATGAGCAGTCCATTGTTACTTTCCTGTTTTTCTCACTTAAGACCACTTTCTCTCTCTCTCTCTCTCTCTCTCTCTGTCTTTTTTGGAGAGGTTTTTGCTACAGGGCGCATCGTGTTCTTTAGACAGACAGAGAGAAAGAGAGATTGAAAGCAAGAAATCACTCCCCAGGGGGGATGGCCATGCCGCAATCCCTTCTCCTCCATTCTCCTCTTGGGATCCTGGGCACGCACGCACACGCGCCCAGTGTGAGTTTAAGCCACCGAGTCTGGGACTCGAACCGCGGTCCACTACATGGGAGTCCAGCAATGTAGCCATTGCGCCAACTGCTGATCCCAAGGCTGCTTCTCTTTCTTTAAAAAAATATTTTATTTAACTTTATTGGTTTATTTAAATTTGACCAGAGAGGGACAGAGTGATAGAAAGATAGAGAGGGAAAGTGAGAAAGTGAGAAAGCGAGCATCCGGGTCCAGGACTGGAACAGCAGTCGGCCACGTGGGAGTCCAGTGCCTTTAACCATTGTACCACCTGTCGGCTCCTTAGGGTCACCTCTTTTCAGCCACTTGTATGGACTTAGAGGGCTGCTATGAGTCTAAGTTCTTTTTTTTTATGTTCATATTATACAATGTCAGCTTCCATAAACTGATAAAAAAAAATAAACAAGTTGAAATGAAGTGATACCAGGAAAATAAACAAGATTGGAACAAGTCCACGATAGTATTATAAATACAAATAACTTTATATGAACTGTGTAGAAATGAATGAGAATTTTGCAATATAATAAATACTGTTTAATAAGGCATTTTTAAAAATAAAAAACAGGGGAACCAGCAGTTAGCATAATGGCTATGTTGCTGGACTCCCACATAGTCAACTGCGGTTCGAGTCCCGGATCCGGTGGCTTAAAACTCACAATGGGCGCGTGTGCGAGTGTGCCCAAGATCCTGAGAGGAGAATGGAGGAGAAGGGATTGCGGTGTGGCCATCCCCTCTGGGGGGGAGGGGGGCGGGGATTTCTCGCTTTCTGTCTCTCTGTGTCTGTCTGGCGAGTGCACGCGCCCTATAGCTAAAACCTCTCCAAAAAAATAAAAATAAAAATAAAAACCCAGAGCCTACCGTTTCCTGGAGTAGTGCTGACTGACCTAATCGACCCGACAGTGTCCCCTGGTTGATCGTCTGTAAAGAAATACACACATGGAAGGCTGTGGCCGACGTGCCGGGTTCGTTGGACCGAGTGCCGAGAAGGAGCCTGAGCAGGGTGCAGCGGGGGAGCACAGTGGGCTGGCCTGTCTCTGCAGCGAGAGGCTGACAATGACTCCACCGTCTTCCTAATTTCCACCCCGGGGCCCACCCTGAGGTTTCAGGAAAGCTAATTAACCTCTGTGTAACTCCATGCGCCAATCAGGGGAGGCTGCGAAATTGGTTCCTTCTGTGCAGTGCCTTCTCCATCCCCTAAGGAGGCCGCTCTGCGACATCCACACAGGAAGCTCAAAGCCGGGTGGCGTGGAGGGGACAGCCATGATGAGAAGACGAGCTGGTGCTGACCAGTGAGTGGCCGTCACCTGTGTTAATAGATTTTTTTTTTAAATGGTTAATGTCATTGTATTCCTTATTCATAGTATTTTAATTTGCTGTAGGGCACGTGAGCTCACCAGAGAAAGGCAAGAGAGAGAGAAAGTGAGAAAGGAAGGCTCCAGGCTTGGGACTTGAACCATGGTCAGCCATGTGGGAGTCCAGCGCCTTCACCACTGCAGCACGCACTGGCCCCAATTTGCTACAGACTTCCGCTATAGGGCACGAGCCCGCATTAGAGACACAGAGACAGAGAGACGCGGCATGGCCACTCCTCCCCCCACTCCGAGGTCTCGCTTTCCCTCACTCGGTTGCTCTCCAGCAACTGCACATGCCCTGTAGGAAAAACAAAAACAAAAACAAAACAAAAACAACTGAAATCAAGAAACAAATAAATGAATGCACATGCTCATACACACCCCCCCCCCCCCCAGTGCCCGACTTTGAGACTCAGGAAGTGTGCAGTGGGGTCCAGCCAACACTGTTTCTTTCTTTCTTTTTTTTTTTTGGAGAGGTTTTGATTATAGGGTGCATGCATTTGCCAGACAGAGAGAGACAGAGAGACAGAAAGTGAGAAATCACCCCCTGGGGGGATGACCACGTCACAATCCCTTCTCCTCCATTCTCCTCTTTGGATCTTGGGCACGCATGCACACATGCCTGGCTTGAATTTAAGCCACCAGGTCCGAGACTCGAACCACAGTTGACTACATGGGGGTCCAGCAAGTAGCCATTACGCCAACTGCTGGTCTCCAGCCAACCGTGTTTCAACAAGTCCTCCAGGGGATACACAGGCAAGAGCAAGAACTGTACACTTTTGTTTTTCAAGAATTAGTTTATTTCACTTTATTTACTTACTTTTAAAAAAATTTTGATCAGAAAGGGAAAGCATGAGAGAGAGAGAAAGGGAGAAAGCCAGCCGCCAGGTCCAGGACTCAAACCACGTCCCCCATATGGGAGTCCAGCACCTTAACCACCATACCACCTGCCTGCCCCAAGAACATATTCTTAAATAATTATTTATGTTATTTTATTTTATTTGTTATGATTATTATATTTTCCTTTGACCAGAGAGAGAGAGAGAAAATGGGAAAATGAGAAAGCAAGCCAGCAGAAAGGGGACCCAACCGTGGTCGGCCATATGGGAGTCCAGCACCTTAACCACTGATCCACCTGCCGGCCCTAATTCTTATAAGGAACAC